TGTTCCCATGTCCTGCCTCCAGTCACAAATAAACACCTACATACTTTCTGTTCCATAAATTTGGCTTTTCTGGACATTTGTTTTTTTTTAAAAAAGCGCATAGTATATTAATTTCTGTTCTAGAGCCTATAGCTTAGCATACCCTCCCAAGACTGACCTAGAACTCACCATATTAGTCAAGATGGCCTGAACTCCTGAGGGTTAGGACTGTAAATATGAGTCACTAGGCCTGGCTCATGATGTTTTCAGTTTTGTTACTAAACCACCACATTCAAGACATCCTGCAGTGTAGGCATACTTCCATTGTTTTTCTAACCATGTTTCTAGTGATGGATATTTTGGTTGTCTCCAAGCTTTGGCTTTTGCACATAGTTCTGTGATAAATCCTCTCCATGCAAGGTATGTGAACATGACTGTGGGACAGGGCTTTAAAAGTGTAATTCTGTTAAGATAGAAATCATCAGCCAGGCATGGAAGTATATACCTGTTATCCCAGCATTGGAGAGGCTGAGGTAGAAGACTGTGAGTTCAAGACTGGCCCGAGTTACATAATGAGACCTGGTCTCAAAAACAAACAAACAAACAAACAAGAACCTTACATTTAAAAAAGGCATTCTTTAATTGCTTTCTCTGAAGATACGTAATTCACCATCCTACCTGCAAAAGGGAGATAGTATATTCTAATCAGGTGAGTTTGGTCTCAGACTGTAGAGTGTAAAGCTTGGATTTTGCTCCCTGAAATAACTCCTCAACATGTCCCAAGCTGTCTATCTTACATCTTCTTCCTTATTGACTTCCATTGGTTTTAATGGGTAAAACATTTTCGTAGTAATAGCTCACGTACTAGGATCATAAAAACTCATATTTGTATCTTAAAGAATATAACAATGCAAGGATTCCCAGGCACCCGTCATGTAGGTTAAGAAAGAAGACTTTACCGGTGTCTCAGGAACCCTGCTCGCTTGGAACACCCCTCCTAATCCTCGAGTGAAGTCTCCCTAAAGTTTGTGGTCACCGTTCCTTCGCTTTAGCGTTTCTGCTGCATTCATTCAGAAGAGTTTATACGGCAGCAACTTAACAGAACTTAACAGTTTTCCTCCCTTCAGCCTTCAGAAGAGCACAGGCCAGCAGGGACCTGTGTGTGAGATCTGGAAGATGGAAGGAGAGCATCAGCAGTATGCTTGTTAAGCTTTGGAAGGTCAGCCCAAGGCCTGTGGCATGGTGTTTATCTGCTGGCTTGTCGTGTTGGTGTGGAACAGAAGCTGCATCCAGAGTCCCTCAGCGTGTGTTCCTCTTCATGATGCAGGACACCAGCATCTGCCGTAGGTCACTCATGTAAGTTGAACCAGTGTAGGTTGCAATGTTTTAAGTCTGTTTTTCCTTCCAGGCTGTCCTGCTCAATTCAGGTCTCATCAGCTCCCGCCATTGTACCAGGCCACACCTCAGGTCTCTCCCTGTGGTTCTGTGTCTCGGTTTGAACGCTGACTTCCGTAGCAGGGATCTTCAATGAGGGATCTACTTTACCTGTCTTGGGCTCTGATGGCTTCTTTGACCATCTACCGTTGTTGAGCAGGTGATCATTTCAAGCCTGGTTCCACAGCTTTGTCCTCAATCCCCAGATAGCCCTCATCTTTGTCATCATCACAGACACTCATGAGTCTAGACACAGAAAAAGCAGACAGATCTGGATGAGTAAGACCTCTGAGGAAGTTTACTCACACAGTGTCTCACTATTTGTCAGGGCCCTGAAATAAGACAAGGATTCTCTTGTATTATTTTTACTATAGTCCTAACACTCAGCAGTTTCAGACCATTTTGACCTACAGAGTGAGTTTTAGGTCACTCTAGGGGGGGGGGTGTATGCTAAATGAAAGTATGTGACTTTACTGTCTAAAAGCAAAATATCTGGAGATGATTGAGTTCAGTCTTTATTCAAGTTGTAGGCCATGGAGCCAGGAGACAGCACTCAGTTTCAGTCTCCTCAGTACCTATGGCTTGGGAACCTTCAGACCTCAGTGATCCTGCAGAGGCATGATCATGTGGTTCTCCACAAGAGTCTGTGCGCATGTAAGCGCAGCATGTAAACAGGATTACTTCTTTTAGGGGAAACTGAACTGTTATTATTATTATTATTATTATTATTATTATTATTATTATTATTGACTGGAGCTCAACCCCAGAGCCTCTAGCATGCTAGGTAAGCATTCAATTCCTGAGCTACATCCCCAGTCTCAGGAAGTATTTCTGGATATTTATTTATTTGGTTCAGGGTCTTATGTAGGTCGGGCTGGTCTTGAATTTTCTGTGTAGCTGAGGATGATTTTGAGTCTCCATTCTGCGGCCTTTACTTCCTAGCAGCTAGAATGATAGGTGTGCTGTGCTGGGGACTGGGCTCATTGCTTCATGCATGCCAGGAAGTGCTCTACCATTGAGTGACAGCTCTAGCTCCTGGGGGATACTATTAAAATGCCCTTCAAATAGACTGGAAGCCTCTTGATTTGCTCAGTAAAGGGAGCCCATCCTGCAGAGACTGGGAATGGGTGTAGAGAGGCATCATCACCTCAGAGGGAGATGGCTCAGGATCAGGACAGAAGGTGTTATTATTGTAGGTAGAGGAACATAGTTCAGAAGGGCAGGTTCGGAGCAGACAGATCTAAGCAGAGGACTGGGCCCTTAGTCAGTGGGACTCAGGCCTGGAATGTGGAGAAGAGATGAATCAACAGGAGGTGCATAGGCCGCTTTGCATTTGCCCTTTCCTGGTGATGCTCTGACTGGTGACGACCAAGTATGTATGGGAGATCCACAGCATTCACATCAGAGCAACTCAACCTCAGTGGGGCCCTGGTAGCTGCCTATTTTCTGTGCATTGTGGCATTCCCAGGCCTTGTTTGAGGAGCAGAGAGCAGAGACCCAGAACAAAGGTGAGCCTTAACTTGCCCTCCTCTCTCTGACAGTCATCTTGAGGAGCCACCTGGCCAGGCGCTGTGCTCAGGCAGAGCAGCAGCGTTCCTCCTCTGGCAACTCTACGTATTCCTCAGCATTTCCGTCCCGCTGAGTCAGAGGCACAGCTGGATCACACTTGTTCCTCACTCTGAGTTCAGCACAGGGCCTGACGTTGAATTCTCAGGGAACTGGGGCTATGATACTGATTTTCTCCTGTTGGCTGAACAGTTTCTTGAATTGTAGGTAAAAGCTGTGTACTCTGGAGCCTCATTTCTGCCCTCCTGCTCAACTTTGCTGAACTATAGGGTTCAGTTCCCCTTGCCTTGCTATACCCATAGCAGGCTGCTCAGAGCCAGGGCCCCTCCTGACGAAGACCCTAGAGAGACAAACCTTGTTTGTTTGGGTCACTGCTGTGTCCCACCCACCCCTGGAAGATCTGTCAGTCAATGTATAATGATGAAAGATGATTCAGGGGCAAGGTATATAGCTCAATTGGTAGAGTGTTTGCCTAGCATGCACAAAGTCCCGGGTTCAATGCCAGGACCATATAATCAGATGTGGCGGTGCACATCTGTAATCCCAGCATTTGGGAAGTGGAGGTAGGAGGATCTTTTGATCAAGTTCATCCCCAGTTATAGAGCAAGTTTCAGGCCAACCTGGGATACCTGAAGACTGTCTCAAACCCAACCCAACCCAAACTCACACCCGCCCTGCCCTGCAAAAACAAGAATGATTCAAATTCTTTGTCTTCTCTGACAGGTTACAAATCACATCTCCACTCTGAACTAGTGCCTGCTTGCCACACTTTGAATGAGGGTGGATGTTGGGAAGGGGAGAACTGCCAATGGGAACCTCGGCTGGAGCTTCTGCAGGCTCCTGGCCTCCCTGCTCCTCCGAGGAGCTGAGCAGGTGAACTGGTGACCCTCTATGCCTTCTAAGCCTGTTTCTGATGCTTTCAAGTGCTGTTTCATCCAGGGAACACCAGAATACATTTCTTCCAGTGATCCATGTTCCACAAAAGGGGGTTTGGATGGGCATGAAATGGGCAGACAGGCAGGGCTCTGTCTTCATCTCCTCACTCAGAGGGACAGTGAAATGGCTCAGCCCATAAGGACCCTTGCCACTAAGGTTGCTGACCTGAGTTGAACCCTGGGGGACATATGATGGAAGGAGACAACAGATTCTGACAAGTTGTCCTCTGACCTATACATGTGTGCTAACACACACACACACACACACACACACACACACACACACACACACAGAGAGAGAGAGAGAGAGAGAGAGAGAGAGACGGAGAGAGATGGAGAGAGAGAGAGAGAGAGAGAGAGAGATAATGTTTTAAAAAAAACAATTAAAACAACACAAATTCTCACTCAGGGCTTCTGCCCAGCATCTGCTTGGAAGTACTGAAATAAATACACAACTATAAGTGGTTTATATATTTTTTAAAAATACATTTAATGATCATACTTTATAAGAAATTGAAAGGTAGACAATTCCGCAATGGTTCAGTGGTTAAAGTACTGTTTTGGACTTAGATTTTTATTTTTTTCATAAACTGAGGTAAAACATACATAGCAAAAATTACCATTTTAGCTTTCTTTTTGTTTTATTTTGTTTGTGGAGGTGCTAGGGTTTTAGCCTAAGCGCCCTGCCAGTGGACAACCCTAGCCCTCATTTCAACACCTTTAATGCAAATGGCAATGAGCACTTTCATACTATCGCACAGCGGTCAGGGTCCACCTTCAGGACGCTTCCATCATCCCAAACCGGACTGTGCCATTAAACACCGACCCTCTGCCCTTCCTCATCCAGCTTCCAGGCGTCACTATTTGATTATTCTTGGTGCTTCCTAAGTGTAACCATACAGGGTTTGTCCTTTGTGGTCTTGCTTATTCCACTTGAAAGCATGGCTTCAAGGCCCACTCACGTGGCGACATGAATTAGTCTGTTTGTCCTTCTCCTTGGATGGTCTTCCGTTCTGTGCATGCACCATGTCTAAATTGTCCATTCATTCGCTGGTCATCACTTTAGCTGTTCTGACCTTTGTCTCTTCTGGGTAATGCTGCTGTGAGCCTTGGCAGGCAAATGTCTGAGCTCTTGCTTTTAGTTCTTTTTGGCACCCTCACTTAAAGTTGCACTTGCTGGATTGTGTGGTAATTCTATATTTAATGCTTTAAGGAAAACTGCTATGCTATGTCTCTCTGTGCATGGGCTGCTTTGGTACACGTCTACCAGTAAGGTGAAAAGTTCCTTTTCTCTACTTCCTCGATGACACTTGCTATTTTCTCTCCTCCACCCCTTCCTTTTACTGACTTGTTAGGAGGCAGTGTCTCACTGTAATTTTAATTTGTGCTTCTTGGAAAAGAGTGTTTGGGGTCTGGTGTTAGGATGGACCAACTCAGTAGGCATACCAATGTGGAAGAGAATTAACAGCCAGAGAAAAGGTTCTAAAATCTGCAGTAGGGGCTCTGGTAAGAATGTGGCCTCTGTCTCCCTGTAACTGTGGTGGTAGTGGGGGGGCATGCATCAATTCAATTACCACAGTTCGAGGGCATGAGTCATGCTGAAGGAGAAGAAGGAACCCTGAGGGGCCGCAGTTGAGGTGAACAGTCTTAGAGGGTCGTGGAGGTGTTCCCCGAAGAAGAACCAACAAAAGAAGGCCTTTCCTTGGCTAAGAACTCCTTGCTGACAAGGCCATAAGTAGCCATGATCTTGAGGAGTCCATGGCGAAATTTCTGGCCAATAAAGGCATAAATGATGGGGTTAAGGCAGCTGTGGAGGAAGCCAAGAATCTCAGTAGCATCCAAGGCCCTGTCAATCTCATTTCGGCGCTCACAGGTCTCCGTGATCTTTTTGGTTCTCATGAGGGTGTCTATGAAAAGGACCAGGTTGTAGGGCAGCCAGCAGAGCAGAAAGACGAGCACAACCGCGAAGATGACTCGCATGGCCCGGTGGTGCTTCTGCCCCATTCGGGCCTTAAAGAGCGTGCGCAGTGTGAACCCGTAGCAGAACAGCATGATCAGCAGTGGCAGGAGGAAACCGATGGTCTGAGGCAGGAAGCGCAAAACCACCCTCACATTGGTTGTGTTATTACCTACATCTTCATAGCAGACTAGGATAAAAGAGTTTGCCCTAACAGTATTACGTAGAATTAAGTAGGGCAGGGACACAAATACTGACAGTATCCACATGGTTAGGCACACAAACTTGACCAAATGTCTCTTCTGGATTATTGTACTTGTGGCGTGGACGATGGCCAGGTATCGGTCCATGCTGATGCAGGCCAGCAGCAGAACACTGCTGTAGAAGGTAACTTCCTTCAGGAATGAGAATATCTTGCACAGGGATGAGCCAAAAATCCATCCCATTACCTTAGACGCAGCCCAAACAGGCAAGGTCAGGGCAAAGAAAAGGTCGGCAATGGCTAGGTTCAGCAGGTAGACATCAGTGACAGAGCAGGTTCTCCGGTTGTATAAGATGACTAGCATCACCAGAGAATTTCCCAGAAGGCTCAGCAGGGTTACCAAGACGTATATTATAACCACAGCATATCTGTTGATCTCTAGGCTCTCTGGGTGGCATGGGGCAGCATCAAGTAGAATAGGGGGCATGTCAGAGCTATAATTGTAACTATCAAAATCTCCGCTGAAGAAATCTTCGAGGCTGAAATTATTCACCTTGATTTCTCCCATTTTTGAAGCAAACTTAATCCTGTCAATAGAGGAAAGAGGAAAGATTTTACTACATAGCAAAATCACCCTGATTCTTGTCTATCCACCCAAGCAACTGGGATGGGAGACTTGTTGCGTTGGTTTGCATATTAGAAGAAAAACATTATTTCCTTCAAACTTGTGAATGACAGCAGCAAGCATCTGAGACAAAACAGTAACAAATGATAAACAAAATATTTGAGGGGATAAATACTACAGTTTTATTCAAGACATTTTTTTTTGAAATAGGGTCTTGGTTGGCCTCAAACTTGCTATGTAGCCAAAGATGTACAAATACACATTATATATATATATATGAAAAAGTTATAATTAAACTCATTGTTATGTATAACTGAAACATACTAATAAAACATTAAAAAGGTTAAACTGGAGAATACAGTATTACAAACAAAATACAAATATTAAAGCAATAATAATGAGAATAACAAAAATGGGGCTGGAGAGATGGCTCAGTGGTTAAGGACACTGTCTGCTCTTGCAGAGGGCTCAGGTTTGGCTTTCAGCACACACCTGGCAGCTAACAACTACCTGTAACTCTAGTTCCATACCATCAGATGTCCTCTTCTGGCTTCCTCGGGTACCAGGTATGCACATGGAATGCATTACATATTTGCAAGGGAAACACCCATGTTCATAAATAATAAAAAAAAACAATTTAAAAAAGAATACCAAAAATGCCCTGGATGTGGGGCTTGCCTGACACACACAAAGTCCTAGATAGGATTTCCAGATCTGAATAAATGAGGTGTGATGGCACATGCCTGCAATCCCAGCACTCAGTATACTGGAAGTGGAGGAAGGAAGATCGGGAATTTAAGGTCATCTTTGACTACAAAATAAGTTCAAGTAGCCTGGCCTGTATGAGATCCCATCCAAAACAACAACAACAACAACAATAAAATCCAAAATCAAAACAACAAGGTTGGAGAAATGGCTTGTTGGGTAAAAGTGCTTGCTCCCTAAGCTTGACCACCTGAGTTTGGTAATTAGATAGATCTTGGAAGCCAGGTAAAATGCAGGGCTGTGAGCAGCAAGGGCAGGATGGAAGGTAGACTCTCAGAGGTGAGGACCAGGAGGGACTACTGATGCACAGCCATGGTGAAGGGACAAGGGTTGGTGTTTGTGTTCTAATGAACTAATCTCTGAAAGAGATGCGTGAGTGGCCGAAGGGACAGAGGAAAGGATGGAAGATGACAGCTGGGATCTGCTTTGTGCAAGATTGCCGTCTCAAGTGGTATGATCAGCTCCTGTTTGCTGATGGGGTGATGAGACCCAGAGAGGCTCAGCAGCCAGTCTGTGACCATCTTCAATGGAGTGCCCTGTCACATCCTCCATGAGGCAGTAGGAACTCCTGGATTGAATGGAGGTACCAGCTACTTGAAATGCACATTAGCCCAGAAGCTCCATGGCTGAGATAAATTAGTGAAGCACAGGAAAAAGCTCAAGTGGGTGGGAAATTTTCAGGCCCCCACATATTAAAGTTAATCTTTTCAAGAGCAGATAACCAAATCATTGGACTGTGACCCCAGTTCTCCTTCTCTTACAGTCCGTAAGGGCTTCAGGGATGTTGGAGTCCTCAGTGCCTGGCACATCTCCAGACCCATGTATAGTCCAGGCAAGAAGGATAGGCAGGCTCAGGAAGACAGTAGGCTGAGGTTAGGGGCTGAGCTTCAAGTAGTTCTTGGTAGGTGCAGGAAGGGGATCGGAAGTCCTCCCTCTGTGGTAAAGAGGCCTGATGTTTAGGGATCCAGCCAGGGGATGGGGGACAACTCATGGTCATGCTGGGTGTCGGGGGACAGAGAGAGAAATTTTAGGTAGTGGTAGGGGGTGCTCCAGACTCACCGGGATGCTGGCTTTTCACCTGTGGGACACCTAAGCTCCGTGACCCATAAAGAGCAGTGGCAGTGAGAAGCCTCTAGAGGAAGTAAGGGGTGGGTGGATTGCATTGCTCAAGCAGGGGAGGAGCTCCCGAGGGTGTGGGATGCCTTCGGTGTTTGAAATATGACTTCCCAGCCCAGTGCGCACGGATGGAGTCATCTTATGGATTTAGAGAGTGCCTATTGGGAAGTGACCCCACGAGCCTGTCTTTCCAGGTCTCAGTGGGGAAGGGGTTTGTTCAGCACCGCAGCTCCCTTTTGCTTGCTATCATCTCCAAGCCACTGGCTCCAGCAGCTGAGGGTCTGACTCTCCCTCCTCCAGCTGCTGCCCCACCACCCGAGGTGGTGCTCTCTTGCTGTTCAGCCGCCCCTTGCCTTTGGCTCTTTCTGGATCAAGTGGGCCAGCTCAAGCAGGCAGCAGAGCTGAACACTGAGATCCTGGCACTTCCAGCCACTCTCCTAGCTGGACTGGATGGACACTGCTTGGTTTCCCCTCTCCCCTAAACTCGTCAAAAGCACCCAGACTCTTCTCCCTTGCTTCGTACCTCTGAGCAGCTTCGCCCCTCGGGGCGCCAACCTGTCATCTCTTGTCTTTTGCTTTTCTCCCAGCCATCTGTGCGGACCACATGTCCAGCTTTGGGTGTTGCTGAGCTGTCTTGGCTCACAGACTTGGCATCAAGTTGAGGATTTCAGTTCCGTGGCATCAAAGACCCACCCTGGGAGCCAACACCCTCGCCATTGAAAACAGCCTTTTGATAAAAGTGAAACCCCCAACCCAGTATTGACACGTTTTGAAAACTGGCCACCAGGGATATATCTCGTCTCCTTTGCTAGTGATTACAAACGAAAGGATTCCTGAGAGACTCACAGCGCTCCATTATCCTCTCCCCTCTAAGCATGCCCAGGGGACACTGTTGAAATCCTGCCACCTCTCCTTAGCCTGTATCCCAGAGTCTAGTGCACACACGCTGGGGGCACATTCGCTGAGTGGTCTCCCCTAGGGAAAGGATCGTCGAGTTCCTTAGTATTTATTTGGTCTCTTTCCCCTGCTGGGCAAGAATGCAATAGTACTGGGTGCTAAAGTACTCACACACACATGCACACATACGCACACACATGCAGATATGCACACACACAACTCATCACTAGCTAGTGCTCTGACCTGGATAAGGGCAGTCATATTAGTCATATCTGGATGACTGGCTGGCTCACAGCTTCACAGGAAAAGGGCTTTTTAACCACTTATTTTGTCTTTCAACCCCCACCTCAGTCTATGAAGTCAGCATGTTCTGGATGAGAAAACCAAGTTCCAGGAGGTTAAGCAATTTACCTTGCATGACAGATGAACTGGTCTGTAAACATATTTAAATGGATTTTAAAATCTGTTCTTAAATGGTTTATATATATATATATATATATATATATATATATATATTTGTCAAATACCATCAGGAGCAGGATGCTAGCTCCATAGGTACCACTTTGTCTCAGACAATCAAATACCATTGATGTGGAAAGGAGCACAGATTGGACATTTCTCAATGATCCACTTCTGCTTTTTTTTTTATCTATCTATCTATTTATTTATTTATTTATTTATTTATTTATTTATTTATTTATTTATCTGCTTATTATTTAGCCCAGGTTAGGCTACATGAAACCTTGATTCAAAACTTTATTTTTTTATTTTTTATTTTTTTGAGACAGGGTTTCTCTGTCTTGGTTTGGCTGTCCTGAAACTTGCTCTGTAGATCAGGCTGGCCTCAAACTCACAGAGATCTGCCTGCCTCTGCCTCCTGAGTGCTGGGATTAAAGCTTTGTGCCACCACCGCCCTGCTGTTTTGTTTTTTTAAAGTTCTAATCTTGGTCCTGCTCTCAAGGGTCAGGTAAGAGCACATCTCTTTCTGGGTCTCGGAGCTCTCCTGAAGACACTAGATCGTTCCAGGTCTTTCCTGCCCAGAATTGCAGCTATAGTCCATTTAGCCCTCTAAATGAAAAAGTAGCTAGGATAGAATAGAATTTACTTCATTGGAAGCTGGGGAGATGGTTCTGCCAGCAAAAGCACTTGCTGCTCATCAGATGTCCCGGGTGTTGGATCTCCAGAACCCACGTGAAGAACTGATTCTACAAAGCTGACCTCTGACCTTTACATGTATTTCATGGCACACCGATATATATGCACAAAAAATTAAATTTTTTTTTTTTTAACTTAATTGGCTGTTGTTGCTACATTTCAAAAGCTCAGTGGCCACAGGTGATCAGAGGCTTCCCTACGAGGCAGTGTAGACACGGAGCACGCCTATTGTAAAAAGGACTTTGATAGAGCACCAGATGATGAATGATGCAGACTCCAGGTCTAAGGTTCTGCAAAATGCCACTTCCCAGGGCTCCAGGAGAGGCAGAGCTCCCGGGTCCCTTCTACCAGGAAAACACTCCCCAGTCAGTCATGAACCAGTTCTCCTACCTGCAGTCGCTCCACAATGCTGCTGAGTGGACGGGGCCCCAGTTCTCTGTGACTCAAGGCTGGGAAGCAGTCAGGCTGTTGGGCTGGCAGAAAGTGAGGCAGCTGTGATGAGGAAACTTCTGACCTGGGCTACTGATGAGGAAGTCCTGGAGGCCCTTGGGACCAAATGTTCCACCCCCAAGGGAGGTGTCCTACAGAGGATCGGCTAGTCTCTTCTACTTCAGGCTAAGGTTCCACCTGGCGATTCTGAGGTGAGCTCTTGGGATTTTCATGCCTTCTGATGGCTTTTAGAGGAGCCTGCCAATCTGAAGGTAGAGGTCAGCTTCTTTCCCGGCCTATGCCTCCTTTTTAACAAGGCAGATGTGGGCACCCCAGATCCTGCTCATGGACTTGGCTGAGCTTGCATTTACACTTTCTTCCTTCCTCTTGGGGTCAGCAGGAGAACTGGCATTTCCGTTTCTTGGTGAAGCCCTGCCCTGGCTGGGGGACCCACTCCCTTCTCTCTTCTTAAGGATCTGCCTTCTGTCACCACAATTGGCTCTTTCCCTTCAGCCTGAACTTAGTCCTCCCTTTGTCTCAGAACCCTTTACCCCTGTTCTGCCCAGTTCCCACAGTTGCTCTCTGCACCTCCTTGCCTCTCATTTGCTGTTCCACAAACACACTACCAAGGGCTTCCTTCCCTCTGTTCACTCTGTGAAGGTGAACAGAGATGCCCAGGCTGAGGGGTAAGGCTGGCAACCTTTTTTCTTCAGTGGACTTGTTTTCATATTAGCAAAATAGCATCGCAAGATGAACAGACTGGAAATGAGACAAGCAGTACAAAAACATATACATAGGACCTAGAAGGTTCTCTTCACTTGAATCTTTCCCCATGATAACCATTATCCACATTGTTGAGATCAGACCACACCCTACTCTAAGGTACTTTATATTGTACAAACAAAGAAACAAACAAACAAGCAAGCAAGCAAGCACGCAAGCAAGCACGCAAGCAAGCAAACAAACAAACAAACCCAAAAGCCAAACCAAACCAACCAAACCAAAACCAAACCAAACCAAACCAAAACAAACCCAATGGGTTTTCAGGCTGTGCTTTGCCTTGAGACATCTTTTGCCCTAAGAAGCACTTTTTGACTCCATTTTGAGGTTAGAAGATCATTCTGCGCCCCTGTGTGGACCCTCAAGTACTACCATCTGTCTGGGACCACCCATGCAGCACAGATTGATAAAGGACCTTTTTATTTATTTATTTATTTTAAATATTATTCTTGGGAATAAAAAGGGTGTTATCCTACAAATTTATTAGGAGTGAACTGATTGTAGAGACACTTGGGCATATTAAAATCGTATCAAGGAAACCAGACTCAAGAACTTATCTGACCTGCCCGACCAAGGAAAGGTTGGAGCTCCCTCACCTGGGCCTCCTAAAGTGGTAGACTCCTGTCCTGAGACACCACGGTTCCATGTGACACTCTGTGTACGTCAAGCACTGACAGGGACCTCTGGACTATCCCTGGGTCTTCAGCTCAGTGGCTAGGTCCCTTGCTATTGACGCAGCCTGCTGACTGCTGTTTGCTCGTTCACCTGTTGGCTTGTCTGACCCCACGCCCACTTCTCAACGTCTGGAGCTGTTCCTGCTCTTACTCACTTCCGTCACCTGGCAGCTAGACTCAACTCTATCTATTCATTGTCAACCAGGGCTCTCCTGAGACCTGATCTCTACAGCAACAACTCTGCAGCTGGCCCGGGTTCCTTAGCTCACATATTCTATGTGCATTTCTTTCAGCCCACCTCTAAAACTGCTTACACTCTGCACTGGCCTCTTTAATTTGTGTTCCTTTCCTAAACTACGTATACACACATATGTATATTTACTGTGTTCTGTGTGCTACGTCATAAGAGTCAGCATCCTTAATTAAAATTAGAGAACCTACACTCCTCTAAGCCAGATTTCTAGAGTAGGTTGGATTATCTGGCGAGTTACTGCCATGTAAACCACTGTACCTTGAGAACTTATTATTATTCCATAAATTCTAACACGGTACAAAGATACAAACTTGTTTGTTTCTGGCGAAGCATGCTCATGATGTGCATCTTCGAAATTCTTTTAGACTTTTTAAAATTGCAAATATGTAAGTGTTTTGCCTGCATGTATGCAGGTGTACCGCGTGCATGTCTTCCTGGTGCCGTTGGAGGGACAAAGAGGGCGGTTGCATCCCTTGGAACTGGAATTCCAGATGTTTGTGAGCCACCCTACAGGTGCTCGGAATTGTGCCAGGTTTGTTTGTTCCTTTCCGAGAACAAGTGTTCTTAACCACTGAGCCACACGATGTATATCTTTGTGTATGCATCTTTCCAGATTTCCCTCCATGTAAATACAAGTGTTTTTCTTCTTTCCTTCTTTCCTCAATGAAAAAAAATGTTTTATTAGTTGTATTGTCTTGTACCTTAGCAATGGATCATGGATATATCCTATGTCAGCATATATGGGCCCATCTTGTCTTTTCGGTGATTGTACTAGTCCACGGTATGAAGAATTATCACTTTCTGGATAACATAGATGAGTATTTAGATTCTTACATGTTGGATGTAGGTCTCTTTGGGAGCTTATATAAGTGTTTATGCAGCAAAGTATATTTTTTGGGGGGTAAGACTCATGCACATTTTTTCTTTTTCTTTTGGTTTTTTGAGACAGGGCTTCTTTGTGTAGTCTTGGCTATCCTGGACTCACTTTGTAGATCAGGCTGGCCCGGAACTCACAAAGATCCACCCGCTTTTGCCTCCCCCAATGCTGGCATTGTAAGTGTACACCACCACGCCTGGCTTGATTTTCTTTTTGTTTTTCAAGACAGGGTTTCTAGATGTAGCCTTGGCTTTCCTGCAACTCTCCCTGGCTGGCCTTGAACTCAGAGATTCACCTGCCTGCCTCTGCTTCCTGCGTGCTGGGTTTTAGGGCCACTGCCACCACATGGCTAAATTTTCATCAATACTGCTAATTGCCTTTAAAAAAAAACTGTGTCAGTTTTCTCTGCATTAAAAGCCTCCTCTATTCATTCACTATGGACACTGCATATGAGTAACTGTTTCCCAGTCGGGTGCAATGGAATGATACTTCATTCCTTAATCTGCATTTTCTACTTGTTAAATGATTTATTTCATTTTAGTTATGTGTATGTGTGTTTGTGTCTGCACATGAATGGGTGCCCACCAAGGCCAGCAGTATTGGAACCCCCTAGAGTTCCCTAGAGCTGGAGTGACAGGAGGTTGTGAGCCACCTGACCTGGGTTCTGGGAATCGAACTCAGATCCTCTGGAAGAATGGATGGTATGCTCTCTTAACCATGGGGCTGTATCTCTAGCCCCTTAATTGATTGCTGGTAGGGCCGAGTCTCTTTTCCTAAAACTGTGTGTGCTCTACTTGTAGCTTCCTTTTGTGAATTAGCTATTTTATTTCCCTTATGCACTGGATTATCATTGCTTTGTCATTGATTTGCGGGAACTCTACATAACCTGGGAGTATAATATTTTAACATTTATCAGTTGTGTTAAAATATTTCCCTCACCTTGCTGTGCTTTTTGTTTAAGTTATTTTCCATTTATTTATTTTGTGTGAGAGGCGCACGCATGTCACACAGCACATGTATGGAAGTCAGAGGACAAGTTGTGGGCGTTGATTTTCTCCTTCCATTGAGTGTGTTCTGGGGATGGAACCCAGGTTGTCAGGCTTGGCCGAAAGTGCTTTTTACCGTGTCTCAGCAGTCCTGTTCATTTTGATGCTGGAGATAGAAGTCAGAGCCTCTACACCGCAGTCTCTACTGTATGCTTTTGAACTTTATGGTTAAAATGACTGTTCACTTCTTATCAGCTCTGATTTCCACATCATTGAGTTCTTGTTCTTTTTTCATTTACTCCTACTTTCTCTGGGTGTTGTTTGCCACTTAAAGTTTGTCATAGATGGTTGTTCCTCGAGTTTTTTTTTTTTTTTCTTAATATTTATTTATTTATTTATTTATTTATTTATTTATTTATTTATTTAT